TTTCAGTCTAGGCATGAGATGGAAATGCATAAATTATACACTAAATCAAATTTACATCAAAACAGTCATAAAATATGAAATCATAAAGTGCGTGGTTAGAAAATGCATCAAGTATTACTCAAATGTCATCAGGAGTGCATAAGTATCTTGTTCTATATCATAAAGAACAATAACAAATTTCAATAAATCTTGCAGCCTATAACTGTCCATAGACGCCATGTATAAAATTTGTCAACAAACTTGAAATGTGAATTTCTCGTAAAAAACATGAAATATAATGCTGAAGAAAATACAATATAAAATACATTGCTTACCAGTGACATTGGCATCAAAATGAATGATTGATGGCCAAAATTAACTCAGAAAAGAAGAAGAATGTTCCGCCAACCTAGCAGAAGACAACATTAAAAATGGACGGGTGCTGAAACATGACCTTTGACCGGTCAAAAGAAAGTAAATGAAGAAATTGTTCTCAGGTAAAAATAGTGTTAAATCCAAGCATTGCATTATCAAAGATATGAAATTACAACAATAGGGCACTTCACAATGTCAGAAAAATCATTTCACAGAAAAATCTCAAAATTACCAAAAATCGTCTCAAGAGGGCGCTGTGTTCAATTTCATGTCTCACATAAGTATCCACATGTAATATACATTGGGTTTCTGAGTATCCACAGGTAGGTAATACTAGTGTGTAATATACATTGGGTTTCTAAGTATCCACAGGTAAGTAATACTAGTATTTAATATACATTGGGTTTCTGAGTATCCACAGGTAGGTAATACTAGTATTTAATATACATTGGGTTTCTAAGTATCCACAGGTAAGTAATACTAGTATTTAATATACATTGAGTTTCTAAGTATCCACAGGTAGGTAATACTAGTGTGTAATACACATTGGGTTTCTAAGTATCCACAGGTGTGTATTACTAGTGTGTAATATACATTGGGTTGCTAAGTATCCACAAGTGTGGATTACTAGTGTGTTATATACATTGGGTTTCTGAGTATCCACAGGTAGGTAATACTAGTGTGTAATATACATTGGGTTTCTAAGTATCCACAGGTAAGTAATACTAGTATTTAATATACATTGGGTTTCTAAGTATCCACAGGTGGGTAATACTAGTATTTAATATACATTGAGTTTCTAAGTATCCACAGGTAGGTAATACTAGTGTGTAATACACATTGGGTTTCTAAGTATCCACAGGTGTGTATTACTAGTGTGTAATATACATTGGGTTGCTAAGTATCCACAAGTGTGGATTACTAGTGTGTTATATACATTGGGTTTCTGAGTATCCACAGGTGTGGATTACTAGTATGTAATTTTCATTGTTAACACTGTTATTAGGACAAACAATAAAACATATTGATTGTTTCATTCAGGACTTCAACAATGATGCTGACTTGAAAGATATGGTGCTAGAGTTTTTAGAGGAGATTGTCAATAATAGTAATTTACTTGCCAGTGAGCATAAAGCAGCCACGACTGTTTTCAGGTAATGTCTTTGTCTTCTAGTTGTGTGTATTTTATGCTAAACACTTCTTGCTGTAAAACAAATTACTAAAAAAATGTCCCACTGGATTATTCTCCAGTTTGATATTCTTTTTCATATGGCATACCAGAGAATATTCTTTGTTAACCTCTATGAAGACTAGTTGTACATCAGCTTCTCAGCAGCTTCACTTGCCTGCTGTGTGGAACAAAGACACAGGATACATTTAGTGAAATGGTGATTGTACATATATCCTACAAAATCAATCAACGCGCTAGAGGACATGTTCTGGCAATTGCGATGACATCATTGACAGGCTGACTTTATGATTATTAGAGTTCAGACAAACTGTCCATCATGAAACTGGTTTGACATCTGTGTGTTCAATAGTGCTCATGTGGAGGTCCTGCCTGGTCAATGAAAACACTGATGTTGGGTGCATACTGGTTTTGGGGATTGCTATGTAGAAATGCTGGTCAAACTCATTTTGTTAGTTTCCTTTGTGGCTAGACAAATAAGCTGGTGATGGGTGTGGAGTTCATGTTACAGCTTCTGACTTCATAAGCGGCATCCTTGACAGGATGAAGCAGTTATGTCCACCTGATAAACCTAATGAATAGTGCTTATCTTTCTGCTCAGACTCCCCAGTTCCTTTGTAGGACATTAAATCAATAGTAATGAGAAGTGAATAGTATATTTATATGAGAGCTCCTGGCGACTTAAGATGCATCCTTGACAGGACAAAGCAATCATGTCCACCTAATTTACATTGTACTTGATGAACAATCCTGCTTAGACTCACCAGTACATCGATGACATTTGGCTCACTTTTTTAGCTCTGCTGTCGACTTTGTCGCGTGGAGCTTATCATATGAGTGATTGTCTGTCGTCCGTGTCAATATTTTACTTTTTTGACTTTTTCTTGAAAACTACAAGCCTGAATGCTTTGATACTTGGTGTATATGTACCTCAGGTAGACCTCTCTTAGATTTGTTGATTTCATGATATTTTCTATTTTCTAATTTTGGTGAATATTTTTGTCATTTTTGGTAAATAGTGATATTTTCGACTTCTTGTTAAAAGCCGCAAGTCTGATTGCTTTGATATTACATACATATAGGTACTACCTACATGTGGTCTTCTCTCAGATTTGTTCATTTCATAATGATATTTTTAATTTTTTAATTTTGATGAATACTTTTGTTATTTTTGGTGAAAAGTGATATTTTCAACTTCTTGTTGAAAACAGCAAGTTTGATTGCTTTGATACTATACATATTGTTCATTTTCTAATGATATCTTCAGTTCTTAATTGAAATGTGCATTGCTAACAGCGGAGCTATCTCAGCTGAGAGGCTGCTTGTTTATAATAAAATATTTCCTTGTAGAACATTAAATCAAGAGTTATCAGAAGCGGACAGTAAAAAATTAAACCTGGATGAGTTGTTACTTGGCTACACATGGAGTGATGATGCATTTGATTGTCTAGCAGCATTAGATTTAGCTGAACAGTTAACATACATAGATCATAAACTCTTTACTGCTATTCCATATGAGTAAGTATTTATCCTTAGAATTTAATCTTATGTGCATTGCATACAGCATTCTGACTACGGTTGAAACAATCCTTGAGAGTACTGGAAATTATTCAAATTTGAAAGGTGTTCTGTAAAGTTCTGTAAAGTCCTTGAGATCAGCATAAAATCAGCAGAAAAGACATCTGTAACTAAATCAAACAGTTTAAGGAAGATGGTACGAGCAAAAGTTGTGATTGACATTTCTTGTAAGCAGGCATGAATTGTGAAAATTACAGAAATTGCGAGTACTAGTTTTGTGATTGCCCATCATTTTATTTTATCATATTTGATTGTTTCACCTAAAATAGTCGCAAATAGAAATATAACATCTGTTTTTTTTTTTTTGATGAATTAAGTAATATTTGATTAAATAAATTCAAAGTGAAAATAAAGTATTTTACAGTATATTATTCTATGAGGAACATTGAGATTATTACAGTACATTTGTTATTTACCGGTAATCTAGGTTCTCGATGGACAAGGTTTTAATAGTAACACTATGTTATTCAATCCATGTCAAACTTTGACAAATTGGAAATTGATGAAACTAATGAATTTTATAATCACACACTAATACATGAGATGAAACACACAACACACACTAAAATATAGATTTGTCTTCCTGCTGTTTTATTGTACATTGTCCTAATTTCACATGGATTAAAACCAACTCATGACCCTACAACTCTTTGAATGCAAAAGTCAATTTTTGTCACCATAAAGCTGCATAACATTTTTTCATATTTTTCAAAAAATGTTATCCAGATATTTTGTCAATGAAATACATTTGATCCAGAATTAAAAAAAGAAATTATAAAAAAAATAACAAAAATTTTTGTGGATAGCTATAGCATTCAAAGGGTTACATTTAACTATATATCTATTACTACACTCAACTTCATTAGTTTGAATATGTCACATGTCTTAATTCTCTTTTTCTTGATTTATTAGAGAGTTTTTAAATCAATCTTGGATGAAGTCAGATAAGGCTGTGAGGGCACCATACATAATGGCTGTTACAAAGCGATTCAATGAGGTGTGTGTGAATTAATACTGCTGAAAAGTGTTTTGTTTTATGCAGTATTATATCGTAATTATTTATTTAAAACATGGTTATGTAGATTTTTGTTTTCACTTTTAATATTATGGAGGTATGTTAATATTAAGCAAGACCTACCCGGTAGGCGCTAAAATGTGGCTCGTGTAAACAATTGAAGCTGGAAGTGGTCACTTCACCACACCAGTGACGGATAGGGTTCCATATGGTCAAGATTGTTGGGATTATATCATGAAGGTAAAATATATATTTTACCTGCATACACATATTCATGCAATGCACTGACTAAATCAGAGTGTACAAAAAAGAGAAGATACCATTATAAATTATGATTCAGTGCATAATCCCTAGATGCCAATAGCATCTTGAGTCCATTTCACACAGATCAAAACACGTATGCGAATATGCTGCCACATTTAATTGTTAGTAGAGCAGTATATGTTGTAGGGAAATCACTCGTGTTGTGTTGATTCCTAATCCTTATAATGTATCACTGTCAGGTCAGCAAGCTGGTGGCATCTGAGATTATTCAGCAGAACACACCACAAGCTAGAGCCAGTGCAATAGAGAAATGGGCGGCAGTGGCTGATATCTGTAGATGCATGCATAACTACAATGGCGTTCTGGAGATCACTTCAGCTTTAATGAATAGTGCCGTCTACAGATTGAAAAAAGCCTGGGACAAAGTGTCTAAACAGGTAAGCACAGACGGATCATATCCATATCTTAAATTGCCCAAAAACAGATTATTAATTATTCTTGTCTTATATCAGTGTGTTTCACCACAGAGAATTTCTATAACCTAATTTACATAATATGCAATTACACTGTAACCTCAATATAATGAACACCTTTATAATGAATTTCCTGATATAATGAACACATAGAATGTCTCCCGCTCACAACAAACCCAATGTATTATATGCTTCATTATAGTGAACATTTCACTATAACGAACTAATTGTATATGTCCCCCAAAGAGTTTGTTATAACGAGACTACAGTGTATTATTTAAAGTTTTAGAGTTGCATGCAGTCTGAAATTGTAGTTATTTACTGGTTCATCAGAACTAAATTAGCCTCATTGGGCGCCATTGGTGCTTTTATCATCTATGCATTCCTCAATTCTTCTCACTGCATCAATTTTGAGTTATTTTAACTATTAGGTGACAGATTTGATGGTTTGAGTACGATGTAAACATATGGAAATAATTTATAGTTTCTTTAATGTATTGTGTAATTAGTACTCAAGTTTGTGTTTTACATTCTTTTGGGATAATTATGTCAGATGACAAATACCAGCAGCTTTTAAATCATTTAAAGAATGGTAGTTGTCATGCTACGTATATGCAAGATATATGGGTCTCATATAAACAAAGATGGCGACTTTGACTGTTGCGCAGATTGACGAGTACAAACTGAGATGTTACGAAGATTTAATTAGGTATTTTTTTAGGTGATTGGAAGGTATCAAAGGAGTCACCAGCAGTTCCATTAGAAGAGCGCATTGAATTGTGGGAAAATAAATGTTTATCAACACAAATGTTGCACATGTGCAGCGCGATGACCACCACGCTTTAATATCGGCGTATAGACATTTCATTCCAATGCTTATTGTTTTATACATACGGGTAATTTGTGTTGGAATTCATTTCTATTCAGACCAGAGCAATGCTTGATAAACTTCAAAATGTGGTTTCATCAGAGGGAAGATTTAAGAATATGAGAGAAGCATTACATCGGTAAGTGCAGATGTCTCACTCGTGATGATGCAGCATGGAGATGAATACTGAAAACAACGTCACGTCAAGTTTTTTTTTTTAAGAAAACAATTTATTTTTAACTGTGACTAATTATTTAAGACTTTGTGAGTTTGAAAACCCTTCATATAATATTAATGTATTTCTTTAATTTCCTTTCAGAATTGATCCACCATGCATTCCATACCTGGGGTTTTATTTGACAGATTTAGCGTTTATTGAAGATGGTACTCCCAACATTACAGAGGAAGGATTGGTGAATTTCTCAAAAATGAGAATGGTATGACCTATATAATTTTATCGAACATAACCAAGAATTTACTTTCACCTGGCCATTCATTAGTTGATAGTAAATATACAAGTCATGTTTGCTTCCTGAAATATATTTTCTACTTGATAGCAAAATTTACAGTCTTTTGAATTAATTTGTTCCCTGGTAACAAAATGTCTGAACCCAGGTCACAAAAAGGCTTTCACTACTTTCGCTAGTAGCAGAATGGTGGCAGTGTTTGGATACCTTAGTAAATGACATAATTTAGTCATTCACAAATTATTGTATTGATATTGACAGTGAATAACCATGCATGATGATATACACATTATGCAAACCTATGTATTTTAATAGACTCATGGAACTCCTTGGGCACATAAATGAGAGAGGATATGGCACACATAGTTCTATTTAAGAAGACAAAAACATGCAGTACATATTCTACAAATAGAAGTAATTCAAGGTCGATAAAGGTTAAAATGTCTCCTTAATTTTGCAGGTCGCTCACGTCCTTAGAGAAATTCGTCATTTTCAGCAGACACATTATAGGATAGATCCAGACAAAAGGGTAATATATGGGTTGTTTGTTTTACTCGGCTGGTTTCCGTGGGTAACAGTGTGATCAATGGGTTTACATACTCTTTGTGTACCCATTCATCATTTGATATATATCAGTTATTATAAATCACCACTATCAGAATTAAAGTTCAAACATCATATAACGTAGGATAGGATAGGATATTTTATTTGGAACATACACAAAAACAATGCTTGAGTAAAGTCCAATATAAGAAACATAAAGTACCACAACTAAAATGTAAAATAGTTTTAGAATCTGAAATACAAAATTAGCTAAAATAATACAAACATATTTGGCAAGATTTGGTAATCAAGTGAGTATATAAATAGTGCATAGAGGAATATTTTCCTGTGTTCTGAAAAACTGTTATGTTCACAATGAAAAAGTAATGTTTTCATCACCCACGTCATTAGAGTCACACTTGTTACATACCCTGTATTTATTCCGCTGTGATGGAGAATACAAATGTAAGTATATAAATATAAGTAAAAATATATAAGTAGTGATCATGCTTAAGACGTTAAGCCTATCCATATGTTTGCATATATCGGATAGACCCAATTGCATTCATACACGGGATGGAAGGCACAGGGTAAGGAACGCCAAATCTTGTTACGAATATACAAAAATCATAAGTCATTTTAAGCATGATTACTCAGTGACAAGGAAGATATGTGTTAGTTCTATGGTTATAAAACAACACAAAAGCAAATTCAGAAAGTGCAGACTGCAGAATAACAGCTAGGAAGTAGCACAGAGTCTCATTGTCAGCTCATTTTTTCGCTAGAACAATATCTCTTAAATGTGTTCACATTGATGCCATATCGGAAATGCATATGGCATAACAAAATGTATACTTCAAAATGAACAT